CTAACATTTCTTACCAAATGAATGGCAGATGATATTAAGTGATATTTATATATTTTATTCATGATTGGTTATATAATGTGAAGTAATGTAAGTCATGTAATAACCACCTTCTCGCCATCCCCGCCAACACTTTATGGCTCCTCCCTGACCAAGTTTTGAACCCAGGTCACTCCTGGTATGAAACCGGAGGGCTGGTACTAAATCAACCATGCCACACTATCCACTAAAAGGAGTGTGCAACCAGGGTCTAACTAGCTCCATAGACATTACCTATCTCCTCGTATATAAGTAATGATAGCGAGGTTTTACATACACTCTGTGTGGGCATTCGGTGGTAATTAACTTGGTGCATCCGACTGAGGATTTGAATTTCTGAGTTGTATATATATGAAAGATGTAATAATGCAATGCCACATTGATATAAATATATAACAAGTGCCCACAGGGCACTAGTTAGATCCTAGTTGTACACTCCATTTAGTGGGTCATGTGGTATGGTTGATTTAGTACTGGCTGTCTGGTTTCATACCTGGAGTGAACTAGGTTTGAGACCTGGTCAGGGAGGATTGTATCTATATCAGTGTGGCAGTGCATTATTCCATATTTCACTGCTTATAGCTATTATAGATATTTTTCCAACAACATAAACCATCTCCCTACAGGTTGATGAATTTGTATAGAAAGACATTCATTGTGGTATAGATATTCATCAAACTTAACTCCCAAGACATATTGGTTTATCTTAAAGCATTTGAAAAATCACATGTTTAGAAAATAACCGTTAGTTTTACATCTTGTATTCCCTCCTAAGGAATATGGGGATGGCTATTTTGTGATGACAGCACAATGCTATATTTAGTAGACAGGCACTAATCACCATGAAAAGACAAATTTGATATACGTAAGGGGACAGTCCCTAAAAGAGGAGTGCATGTAAAATGGATAATTTTGATGATGAAAAAAGTTTTGCTTTTCTACAGATTTAGATATTTTGTGTATTTTAGCATTCTGCATCCTCACAGGCAGTGATGCTCTCTCAAAAGAAAGAAAAAAATCCATTCACATATGGCTTGCTTGCTTGCTTGCTTTTTTTTAGTGGTGAGTTGAGGGTTAACAAACATGGATTGTGATGCTAAGAATTCTTGTATTATACTATACTTCCCCCACCCCCCACACCATAAATCACCTGATGTCAATAAAAATTTTAACCCATTCGCACCAGGTGTCGTGTATACGTGACGTGCCCACTGTGAGTTTACTTGTTTAATTGTTTTTACACCTAGATGGCTACACTTGTACTTGTTCTGCTTGTCTCGCCTGTTTACCCTTTTCTTTATCTTATTTTGCTGTTACTAATGTTTATAACATTATAGTAATTATAATGTTTATAATAAAAATAACCATCGATATTCATAGCACTTGTAAAAATACATTTTCCCGCCAATTCAAGTAAAGGTGGAATCGGGTAAGGCAGAGCCATCTTGTGTAGAGACATTTCATTAAAAGATATAAAAAATGAGCACAGCATTTTCCCCATTTTTTGTTCATTTTTACCCAGCGCAAATGGGTTAATTGTATAACTGTTTTGGGAATAGTGGAAATGGAGATAATCCCCCTCCCCCCCATTATAAATCCTTGACATTGGGAGGAATCTAAGTTATCCTCCCATGACCAATATTAGTAGGTAATGTCAGAATACATGTTGCATTTTTGCTTTTAGTAAGGGCTATAAGTGTGTAAAAATTGCTGATGCAGCTCTAGATCAGCTAGGAGTGACATGCCCTCTACACTGCCAAGCTATTCTTTGCATGGGTATTTCTATATTAATTTTAGTGTAAGTTGAAAATTTGATAATTTGATTTGATAAGTTCAATTTATTATAACATGGAATCCTATCCAACCCCTATTACATAAACAGAATATATGCAATCCATATGAAGTACATGAGATTCTGGCAATTTGGCCCAACAATGACAATCTTTCCTAGGAAACCTCTTGATTGTCACCAGGGAGAAGAGAATGTAGTTTTAACTGAAGAATATAATAACTTTTGACTATATTTTGCTATAAGAGTATTTATCCGCTTCCTGAATAAAAAAAAAAAAATGGAGCCACAGGATGCTCCCTAAACCTTTGGATCCAAGCAATTCCCTGCCTGCTTGTGGCCCAAAATCCAGGCATTAGGTATATTTGAGCGGCCACTCTGAATGTGTGGCTTGTAGGTTGAGCACACAACATACTCTATGCTTTCCCTTTGCAATGTTATTTTCACTTTTTCGGCATAAGCATCTTTAGCTTTTTTGCCATTTTCCAATGTCTATATTTATTATATGATATGCTATCCAGATGGTAATACTGTTTTTCCTTGCTGGCTCCATATCTCTCTAGGTAGTCCATGGCTCAGTGCAGTAATAATAACAATAAGGAAGATTGCTTGTGCTTGTCATGGGCTCATGAATGGTACATTCCATGTGTTTATTGATGGGAATAATGCAAGATTCCCTTTCTGAATACCGAGCAAGTGGATTCATTGCATCAGAGCATAAATGCCAACTGATATGTGGATTTCATCAGTGCATGAAAGGAAAGGGGGACCCTCTTCTAAAATGTGCTTGTTTATGCACCATTTTTGTTTCTTTTGACTTCATCTAGGGAAATTGAGACTGACTCTATATTAATGGAAGAATGCATAAAGAAACAAGTAAAATATGTGAAGCATATAATTTCTGTATGATTTAAGGTCATCATAGATTTGTAAATGCAAAATTCGGCTCATGCTGTAGTATAGAGTGACTACTGTATACTGCATCTTGAAGTATGCAGAGATTTTATAATCGGAAGCAACTGTGTTTTTGAAGGAGGGATGTGTATACTTTAGATTTTTATTGCTTGTGCTCTTTAAGAGTCGCCACATCCTGAAATGGTTAAAAACTATGAACAACATAACCTGACCTACTTACCAACCAAGTGTGCATGCGTAGAGCAGAGCAATTTTTAATGTGTGAAGTTGCTGTATATGGCCACTAGAAAACTGATTACATAATTTGGTATGTTAACTTTTAATATGTAATGAAGTTCAGGTTGTGGTTTTAAAAAGTTGTTTTTTAAAGTTGATGGATATGAATTAAGGTGATGCATCTTTTATCTTCCATTGTATTAAGGAAATATTTTTAATGCTTCTATATCATAACTCCATAAAGTATTGTAAATGTTATATTCTTAAACAAAGTTTGGTTTCCACTACAAGCAATGTATTTTGGGTAAATAGCAAGCAAATGCTGCCGGATTTTGGAGTTTAATTAATTTTGACGCTTTCATTTTCAGGCGGGTAAATTGAATGAGGAGTATGCAGCCCCCCCAAGTGCTAGTGAGTTGCCACCCCCAGAGCTTTTCACACAAATGCATCCTCAGGAGCAAATGGCAGCCCAAGTATCTACACCCGATAATTGTAACCAGGTAATCATTTCAAGTAACAGAGTATTTAAGATTCTGTATTCATGACTTCATGATTTTAATTTCTGTAGAGTGGGAGATGTCACAAAATAATAATTTAATTCTCTTGATATTAATGTTTTAGATTTATTATCCCCCCCCCCCATTTATAGCTAAGGTCTGCCACTTTTTTCTGGCAAACTTTTTCTTCCAATACTTTGAAATTACATTTTTAAAGATCAGCACCTCTTTACTTTCATCTCTTTATCATGTCCAAAACCCCTAATACTTTGATGCATCCTTAAAGATACTAAGCCGTTATGCCTACGTTTCTGAAACCTGTTGAAACCTCTCTTTTTGTTTTGTATGGCTCTACCTTGATAAAGTGATAGTCCAGCCAGCCATTCAGAGTATGATCATCTGCAATACATTTGTAAATGTCTCCATTAGGAATTTGTTTTCATTAAGCATGAATTGTATCATAGGTCTTGATATGAAAGTTGTATATAAAGATGCATAAAATGTTTCTGTATATTAGATATATGTGCACTCAAGGAGCAAAATATGAAGTAGTCTAAATAATTTGCATCTTTGAAACCATATGGTAAGAATTTTTAATATGCCAAGACATACAATATGGTGCTGACTTCAGTAGGATGAATATATTAAATTATCCTGTAATGCTATGATGTAACCTTACAACTGCACAAATATTAAAGGAAAGGCTCTGTACTTTGACTTGATATTTTCTAGTTATCACATGCATTTACTTATCTAGCGGTGTGCGATGGACTCTACTATATCCACTATGTAAATGTACTGTTCACTTGCAAAGTAAAATTTCAAAGGATACTTCTGTTTATCATATGAAGGGGATTTAACAGAATAATAATAGACATGTGTTCAGTGAATCTGTGTATTTGAGTTTCCATTACCTTGCAAAGTGGAAGGGTATATAAAAATGTGATTCATTCCTTAGTCAGGTAATTTTTCCATTTAAGGCTTCTTTAATCATTTGCTTCCAATTAAAAATCATGCCAGCATATTAAATACTTTAATAGTTTTCAGTTGGCTCTATGTGAAATATAGATAAATTACTTTAAGTTTCAAAATGTCAGAATACAATCTCACAGGCAATATGGAGAACACTGTAACCCTCAGCATTGAGGGTTATGACACATCCATGTGTCACCTATGACATTTCCATGGTGAAGATTTCTTTCTATTATACCCTAAAATTATTAGATGTGATAGTGCTAAAAAGATGGTTCACCTTGCTGAACACCTGAATTTTGATTGGTTTCATGTATATTGTGCTGCTTCGCTTTTCAAATGCATTTTTATATTTTAACCCAACACTGATGGCCCTTGCCTATCGGCATCATAACAAACTGCTCAGTCTGCAGGGTATAACTGTACCCGCAGCTACATGACAGAGTGCTCAGAGCGGGATGTTCGGCATGATGTAGTGGACTCCCACACCCAGTGTCCTCCCATTGCCAGAAGTCTCCAGAGTATAAAATTCTCAGATTTTTTTTTCACTTGTCAGCGTTGGGTTAAAATATTGAGGTGTATAGGGGAATCTACCAGCATTTCCCCTATATTATTTAGTATGAAGATGTAAATCTTTGAAGTGTTTTTGGTACTTTGTCTCTCAGCATATAAGGATTTGGCCAGAAGAGCATGAACGATGGCTGGAGGATAGGCTTATGGTTTACATGAATTGTTATTGTATGGCTAGTATTGAAAAATATATTATATACTAAGCTGTTCTTATTTTAACAGACCTCAAGCAGTGTAATCTGTGAAGAGGCCGATGACACGTGGTCCAGCTGTAACAGTGATGCCGACAAAGGTGAAGTTAACACCACCTCCACACCAATGGCACCAAAACTTCGCACAAAGCGACGTTTAGCAGCACAATTTGCAGCAAACTGATCAAGGAATTTTCCAATAAAGTACAGCATTGTGTTCATCACAATAGCCTAGTTCCATAAGTACTGGTTTAGGTGATTTTGTGCAATAATTTTTGAGGTTTTGTAAAGTATTAGTGTCCGTCCATAGACCATGTTCAGTATCAATTCCTATGACATCTCAGTTATGTGAACTGATGCATTTCTTATTTAACTTGTTGGTTAATTTTTCTTTGTATTGTTGAATTTTTTCTAGATATATCTAGATTTAAAGCATTCTATAATTTAAATGAAGAGAAATTTTAAAAGTCTCTTGGCTATTTACCACGTTGATTATGGTGCGACTTTACATAAAATTATTTAATCATTCCATGAATGGGCGGTTATTATCATAAACATAGTTGTTGTCAAAGATAGACCAGGAAGGAAGGGGGATTTAATATTACATAATGTTTTGTCACTGTTGATCAGTATATCAAGATTTCTTAAAAGTGCAAATGTTTACATATTTAGATTTAGCAAATGTCAATTTGCAGTTTCAGCCAATGTAAACCTGTAAACGAAAGAAAAACATAGTACAAATGGTTGGACAAAGATGTGTTAATTTCTTGTTCCAAATGTACAAATACAGAAGATGAACTTACCATATGCTGTTGTTTATTGGGCATTTTGAAGGCAGCATTATTTGAAATAGCACAGGAAGTATTCTTCAAAAATGTTTCTATGATCTATTAAAGATTGTTGTGTTTGAAGCTTGTTGGTCATTTTTTTCTAGTTTTGAGAATTGAAGATTCCCATATAAGGTTAACAACTAATTTCGGACTAGGTGAAAAATGGAAGGGAAGTTGAGCCGAGGCAGTTTAGTTTTTTCCTCAAAGCTGGGGTCTATTGTGATGTAGAATAATTTCATTCTATTGATGTAAGTTTAGAAGCACTTGTGAAGTAACTTCCTTAATGTTCTTGTTTTTTTGATACAACTTTTTATATATTTGAAAAGTATTGTGAGTTGTTGATCAACAAGCTTCCATCAGTTTTGTTCCTAAGTAGGAGTAAAAATGCCTCATTTTTTTATGACATTTCGTTAATCTTGTATGGTTATTCTTATGAATACAACTACAAATACCATTTTACTTGTCTTGACATAGCCTGACATGCTAGTTTTGGGTTACCGGTACAATATTTCTGCTGTATTATAGCATTATAGTATATAGCATTCAAGAGTTTGAGAATGCAAGATTGCATATTTCTGTGCTGAAAATGTTATGATTAGCTTAATCACAACATCTAGTCTGTTATTTATTTTGATATTTAAGTCTGATAGCAGACTGTACAAAAATGCATCAGCAGCTGTTATAAGCCAACAAGTTTGTCAGGGTTTTGTCAAGCTTTTGTCAGTGTTGGTAATGGGGTTCTCAGTGTTACACTGAAACATTCCTTGTTGTGGAAGTTGAAATAAATGTTTATTATAAAGGAATCTTTTTACTATTACACATTTAAAAATATGTAAAGGGCAAACTAAAGTCCTGAGGACAGTAGTGTGCATAGATATGCAGGGGTCTTTCTTTCTTCCCCTTGTTGTTTGCTGTCAACTCTGTTCATTCTGTTGCCTCCATCCAGGTCATTACTCAACTTCCTGAATACACCCCTTCTTCTCCCATTATCTTCAATTCCATCACCTACTGCATACCCCCTCAATACTTTATCTGTATTGTCCTCCCCACAGTACTCCCTCACTCTGCATCACCCCATCTTCCTTCTGCCCTCATCCTCCTACTGCTTCGATCCCTGCAAACCTTTTTGATTACTCTTTTTGGCCAAGCCAAGTAAGAATGATTGTGTGATTCCCCTACAGCCCCTTACTCTGACAATATCCTCTTCCAACTATGTCTCCAAAAACAAATGGGTAAAGTTTCCTTTCGCAGTCATTCCAATCATTCATGCCTTGTCACGGTTACATCTGAATCCCAAGCTTGTGGACTATACACACTGGCAAACCTATTCCAGCCCAACCTCACTCCTCCCTTAACCCCATGCAGATGGGTCACACCTATACACATACCAGATGTGGACAGATACAGACGGGCACATGTACTGGCATGGTCCATTTTTAACCTGTCTCTCCGGGATGCCTGTGCATATTGATTGTTATACAGCTGTATGAATGACTGTTTTTGAGCTATTTTGTATGTATCCATGTGTATATGGGTAATTGTGCAACTGTGTAGAGAGTGAGTGAGTGAGAGTGAGTGTGTTTCCTTTGTCGGCATGTATTTGTGTGTATATGTGGAAATCTATGTGTGCCACTTTGTGTGAGTGTATGTGGGTAATGCAATTGTGTGTGGAAGTGCATGTGAATGGTACAAGTTTGTTTGTTTTTCATTGCATATTTTGTTTTGTTGGCTGTGTCTGTTTCTCAGTCGTTGTGTTGGGAAATTGTGTGTGTGTGTGTGTGTGTGTGTGTGTGTAAATGTCTGTAATGTATTAAAGTTTCTGTATGGTTTTAGTTGTTCGTTTGACAGGTGCGTGTGGGGAAATTTGTGTAGATTTGTATAAAGGGGGTAATTGTATGTGCATGGATGTGTAAAATTGTGTGTGTGTGTGTGTGTTGTGTTTTCGCACTTGTGCGCACATGTGTCACATGACCTGACATCAAGAAAACCAAAATGCAACTTCCTAGAGGGAAAATTGGCTTAAATCCCATGCAGAGGGCAAGGTAATCACTCGCCAGCTAGAGATACTGTTTACACCATGTCTCACCAGCTCTCCATTCACCACTCTCGCAAGCCGAAGAATTCCCTGGCATCTGATCCTTGATCCATGTCGTATGACAAGGATATAGTAAAAGATCCCCAACCATCTATGTCCAAGGAATATCCTAGGCTGTGAAATGCCCCAGAACCTCTCCTCTATCTACTCACTGCCTACAAAGACGAAGATGAAGTTACAGATGAAGACTACACACCTAAAATTCTCCAGGATGAGTAATCTATCTGGTAAGCTTTTTGTCCATTCTCTGACGTAAAAACACCTGGCACTTTAGACATATTACTTGGTTTCTGCATAGCATCACTATTTTTTTTTACAGAACTCATGTTTTCCTTCATATTGTTACAGAAGTAACAATGAGTCCGACCTTGAAGAATTAGCCTTGGAGGACGACTTAGATGTAGATTACTACTACGTCCCACTGGTCGATATGTCCATGGATTCCAACGAGCCCCTCGCCGAGTACGCCAAGTAACACTGGCCGGAACTCCTTTCGTTTGGTCAAAGAAGGAGAACTTCATCCGGTGTCACTGCTTCGAGAGAACACCTTGTGTGCACGCACATCTTGGCAGATCGCCGTTCATGCTGGATATATTCACCAGTTTCTTCCTGCGGGAGCTGTTTCAGAACATCCTGGACGAGAGGAATCGGTAAGCAACTTACCTCTTGTTTTTTGTGCTCTTGACTTGAAAAAGTAATTTTCTTTCTACATGTTCTCTTTTGGAGCACCTGTTTTATAATGTCTTTTTTCTTCCGACTACAGGTACGTTCGACAGAACACACGAACCCCTTCATCCCACATGAAAGGGTGGGTGGACACAACTTTACGGGAGGTCCGCTCGTATGTCGGCCTGCGGTTCCTCATGGGACTTCATGGGAAGAACTGCCAGAGGGACTTTTGGTCGACGGACCCGTTGATGTCCTCGTCAGTGTTCGCCAGGACTATGACCAGGGACCGCTTCGACACCCTTACCTCCGCCCTCCACTTTGCTGACAGGAGAGCACGACGCGGAGGATCGTTTGTGGAAGCTTTGCCTTGTTGGACGTCCTGGAATCGACATACGACATGAGAACATCGATAAGAACTTGTGGGACTACAAGGGCAGAAATCATGCCCTTCAGTATAATCCGAGCAAGAGGGCTCGCAGAATGGTCTATAAGCTGTGCTCGTCCGACGTTCCAGAGGCAGGGTATACGGCGGCCTTCAACATCTACATGGGGCAAGATCGCGGTGAATTTCCAGCGAGCATGAAGGCATGATGGAGAAGGCAAAACTGTTCGACAACGGGTATCAGTTGCACAGACAACTTGTATTCCTCCTTGACTCTTCCTCTACCCGCAGGTCCGGAAGACCAGCGCCGTTGGCACAGTACGTCCCAACAGGTGGGGTATGCCCTCGGACCTGCAGGCTTGTCGGGAACAAATCGACTTTCGGAGCAACAACACCGATATGCTATACCTTCAGTTGGTGGATAAGTGTCTAGTCAGGATGCTTTCTACCGCTGTCGTCACTCTGCCTCCCAACCGCCGAGGGGAGGAGAGATTGAAGCCCGTAGTCATATCCAGCAACCCGTAAGATCATCAAGTGGTACAAGATGAATTTCTTCTATTTGCTGTATATGACCTCCGTTAATGCGCTGGCAAACGAACTCAGTACGACTTCCATAGAGAGCTGTTACGAGGATTGCTGCAACGAGGCAAGCATCTGAACTTTTGTTTCTTGTATTCTGATTTGAAACTGGTAATTTTCATTCTACACGTCTTTTTGTGAAGACATGTTTTACAGTGTCTCTTTTTCTTGCATTTACAGGCGGCCTCCCCGACTCCTTCCGGCGGAATCCTCCTCCGAATGAACCTTATGAAAATTAAAATTTTGATTTACCCGCTGCTTTTTCGTTCTCTCACTAAGACAAACTACTGACTTTACACGCTCACATGGGTTAACCACTCCTAAAATGGAATATATTCCACGGTATGAGACAATAATATGCTTCATATGGCTACAGTAAGTCTGTACGTTCACATGACGTTCACATGTTTCTAGAGTGAAAAAACGGAGGTTGCAGTTACAAGCAAACCACCCGCCAGAGCGCGCTGAAACTTCGCACGGATAGTGAAACGGGCCGCGCGAGAGACAGCTGGCTGTCTTTATTTCCCTAGGTGCAGAGAAATTTTCCTACCTGTCGGCATTGGGTCAATACTTGTACCAGAACTGCTTCCGTCAAACTGGCTGATTGTCCTGTATAAGATGAGGACTGGTCAGACTGAAAGAGACTTACTTGCCTATCTCAACGACCGAGCGTAAGTCCTACAGATTAGCTTCCGTAGATATGACCTCGCCCATGAAGTTAATTTTGGTGGAGTGTCTTGCCCTGTCCGACCACATCGACCCCTTCCCCATCAAATGTCAGAAATGTTGCTGTTTTGGCCACTCAGCCAAATACTGTTGCTCCATAGCCCACTGCCTTCTGTGCCCAACCCGGTCATTGACTCGTGTACCAATTGTGGTGGCTCCCATAATGTATTTTACAGGAGCTGCCCCACCTACAAGTTCGAATGTGAGGTTGCAGTTCAGATTCAAACTAGGCCTCACTCTGAGACTCCAGGGATGAAGTACACAGACGAGGTTTTTCTCTATTTCAAAACTGTCCTTTGCTCCACTTCCCTCCCATCTTCTCTAGATGTCTCGACATCCTTTCCCTCTACCTCGAACCATCCTATGTCTAACCCCCCCCCCCCCTACCCTTACGGCTCCCACATGGATGCTCATATGAATCCCTTATGTTGCAGAATGCCCTCAGATCCCCTACCTCCTGCCACCCCTCCTTCACTTCCTCCCCCTCATCCTTTCTCTTCCCCAAGCTCCTTCCCCTCCAATGTCTCCAACACTTTTTTTTACCATTCATCATAGTTCTACATTGGAATATTCGCTGTTTCCGTTCTCAAAGGCCTTACAGACAAGGGGATTGGTCGAGCGCATAGACTGTATGAGAGTTATTGAGTTACAGATGTCAGTAAAAATAGTGAAAGGAAGAAGGGAATGAGTATAAGTGTTTGAAGGCAAAAAGGAGTGCATACAGTTCTGTAGTAAGGACACTGGATTCAGGAGGGAGGGGGTATTTGAAAGTGCGAGTTGGGAAGGTAAGGGTACTGCGAAACCAGCACCGTGTAAACAGGAATACTAGAGGAATGAATGGAGGCATGGTCAAGGAAATGGGTGAGATCAGAAGGGGGGGATATTTGATTTTGGTGGTCAGGGAAAACAAAAGAGCAAATATGGGGGTGAGGTATAAGCTAAACGTGGAGAAACAGAGGTAGGAAGCAGGGATCATGTGATAGTTATTTAGGTATGGAACGTTGGTGGAATCGAGCATGGCATCGGAGAGAGAGGAGGCATACCTATACAGGCTCTCAGCTGGAGAGAAGTGGAAGGCGCCTTGGGGTAAGCGAAAGCCCCAGTGGTGAATTATATCAAGATGAACAAGGAGGGAGGTTGAGGCAAAGGAATAGATGTGGCATCCATAATCGAGAGTGGAGAGGATCAAGACAACACGAAGATGGAGGAGAGTTTTGCAATCTGAGCCCGAGTATATATGGGTGTGTTTGTAAGATTCGAAGGCGGCGGCGAGCTTTTTCTTTAATGTAAAAGAACTGGTTATTCTACCTGTCCACACGCCATAAATCTATTGGATATTGCTAGGTGCCCAGCCATGTTGGATTCCATGGCAGTGAACAGGCAGATAATCTAGCACGCTCTGCCGCTATGTCCACACCACAACTATGTTTCTCATGTATTCCAGCCACGGATTATAACCCCACTTTAAGACCTTCCTGTATACCCAATGGCAATCTTTCTGGTCAAGTCTCCGAACTAATAAATTACATACGAGATCTCCTGATCAGCTCCATTTCATCAAAACAGACATTGGGAGACGGATCTCGTCCGCTTACATATTGGCCACACCCGTCTAACACACTATCTGATAACACGTTCTCATCCGGCCGTGTGTTCCCAAAGTAATGTCCGTCTTTGCAGCAGCTTGTACCCCTGCTTTCTCCCAGCTATCCTCCCTTCACCGACCTCCCAACCAATCAGACTTCCTTACAGAATCCCACACTTTCTGATTTGACACCCTGTTCTCTTTCCTCAGATGTATACATATCCCTCACCCTTACCTAAACCTACCTGAACCCATTCACTCATCCACTTCTTACCCATCTTTAACCTTTTCAATATTAATCTAGATAGTTTACGTATAACAACTAACTACTTGCTCAACCGCTCTTCAATACCCTTTACTGTACCTTCCTATGGTGCTACATGACCTTAGATGTCTAGCACATTTATTTTGCTTTTAACCATTTAACTCGCAGATTCAGACAGAAGCACGTCGACAAGGTTTTTCACTCCCTAAAGTCTATGCACTCGACCAATCCCCGTGTCTCTAAGATTCAGAACTTTTTTTTTCTACCGGTCCACAAGCCATAAATCTATCAGACTTTGCTGGGTCCCCAACCATGTTGGAATCCCTTGCAATAAACAGGCAGATACTCTAGCACGCTCTGCCGTTATGTCCACATCACAACCACGTTTCTCGCGTATTCCACCCACGGATTATTACCCCCACTTTAAAACCTTCCATTATACCAGATGACCATCTTTCTGGTCAAGTCTCCGAACTAATAAATTACATACTGTAAAATTATCAATTTCCTCCTTGTCAGTTCCAGTTCATCGGAACAGACGTTGGGAGATGGCTCTCGCCCGCTTACATATTGGCCACACCCGTCTAACACACTATCTGATAACACGTTCTCATCCGGCCGTGTGTTCCCAAAGTAATGTCCGTCTTTGCAGCAGCTTGTACCCTTGCTTTCTCCCAGTTATCCTCCCTTCACTGACCTCCCAACCAATCAGACTTCCATACAGAATCCCACACTTTCTGATTTGACACCCTGTTCTCTTTCCTCAGATGTATACATATCCCTCACCCTTACCTAAACCTACCTGAACCCATTCACTCATCCACTTCTTTACCCATCTTTAACCTTTTCAATATTAATCTAGATAGTTTACGTATAACAACTAACTACTTGCTCAACCGCTCTTCAATACCCTTTACTGTACCTTCCTATGGTGCTACATGACCTTAGATGTCTAGCACATTTATTTTGCTTTTAACCATTTAACTCGCAGATTCAGACAGAAGCACGTCGACAAGGTTTTTCACTCCCTAAAGTCTATGCACTCGACCAATCCCCGTGTCTCTAAGATTCAGAACTTTTTTTTTTCTACCGGTCCACAAGCCATAAATCTATCAGACTTTGCTGGGTCCCCAACCATGTTGGAATCCCTTGCAATAAACAGGCAGATACTCTAGCACGCTCTGCCGCTATGTCCACACCACAACTATGTTTCTCATGTATTCCAGCCACGGATTATAACCCCACTTTACAGGACCTTTCCTGTATAACCCAATGGCAATCTTTCTGGTCAAGTCTCCGAACTAATAAATTACATACGAGATCTCCTGATCGCTCCATTTCATCAAAACGACATTGGGAGACGGATCTCGTCCGCTTACATATTGGCCACACCCGTCTAACACACTATCTGATAACACGTTCTCATCCGGCCGTGTGTTCCCAAAGTAATGTCCGTCTTTTGCAGCAGCTTGTACCCTTGCTTTCTCCCAGTTATCATCCCTTCACTGACCTCCAACCCATCAGACTTCCATACAGAATCCCACACTTCTGATTTGACACCCTGTTCTCTTTCCTCAGATGTATACATATCCCTCACCCTTACCTAAACCTACCTGAACCCATTCACTCATCCACTTCTTTACCCATCTTTAACCTTTTCCATATTAATCTAGATAGTTTACGTATAACAACTAACTACTTGCTCACCCGCTCTTCCATACCCTTTACTGTACCTTCCTATGGTGCTACATGACCTTAGATGTCTAGCACATTTATTTTGCTTTTAACCATTTAACTCGCAGATTCAGACAGAAGCACGTCGACAAGGTTTTTCACTCCCTAAAGTCTATGCACTCGACCAATCCCCGTGTCTCTAAGATTCAGAACTTTTTTTTTCTACCGGTCCACAAGCCATAAATCTATCAGACTTTGCTGGGTCCCCAACCATGTTGGAATCCCTTGCAATAAACAGGCAGATACTCTAGCACGCTCTGCCGTTATGTCCACATCACAACCACGTTTCTCGCGTATTCCACCCACGGATTATTACCCCCACTTTAAAACCTTCCATTATACCAGATGACCATCTTTCTGGTCAAGTCTCCGAACTAATAAATTACATACTGTAAAATTATCAATTTCCTCCTTGTCAGTTCCAGTTCATCGGAACAGACGTTGGGAGATGGCTCTCGCCCGCTTACATATTGGCCACACCCGTCTAACACACTATCTGATAACACGTTCTCATCCGGCCGTGTGTTCCCAAAGTAATGTCCGTCTTTGCAGCAGCTTGTACCCTTGCTTTCTCCCAGTTATCCTCCCTTCACTGACCTCCCAACCAATCAGACTTCCATACAGAATCCCACACTTTCTGATTTGACACCCTGTTCTCTTTCCTCAGATGTATACATATCCCTCACCCTTACCTAAACCTACCTGAACCCATTCACTCATCCACTTCTTTACCCATCTTTAACCTTTTCAATATTAATCTAGATAGTTTACGTATAACAACTAACTACTTGCTCAACCGCTCTTCAATACCCTTTACTGTACCTTCCTATGGTGCTACATGACCTTAGATGTCTAGCACATTTATTTTGCTTTTAACCATTTAACTCGCAGATTCAGACAGAAGCACGTCGACAAGGTTTTTCACTCCCTAAAGTCTATGCACTCGACCAATCCCCGTGTCTCTAAGATTCAGAACTTTTTTTTTCTACCGGTCTACAAGCCATAAATCTATCAGACTTTGCTGGGTCCCCAACCATGTTGGAATCCCTTGCAATAAACAGGCAGATACTCTAGCACGCTCTGCCGCTATGTCCACACCACAACTATGTTTCTCATGTATTCCAGCCACGGATTATAACCCCACTTTAAGACCTTCCTGTATACCCAATGGCAATCTTTCTGGTCAAGTCTCCGAACTAATAAATTACATACTGTAAAATTATCAATTTCCTCCTTGTCAGTTCCAGTTCATCGGAACAGACGTTGGGAGATGGCTCTCGCCCGCTTACATATTGGCCACACCCGTCTAACACACTATCTGATAACACGTTCTCATCCGGCCGTGTGTTCCCAAAGTAATGTCCGTCTTTGCAGCAGCTTGTACCCTTGCTTTCTCCCAGTTATCCTCCCTTCACTGACCTCCCAACCAATCAGACTTCCATACAGAATCCCACACTTTCTGATTTGACACCCTGTTCTCTTTCCTCAGATGTATACATATCCCTCACCCTTACCTAAACCTACCTGAACCCATTCACTCATCCACTTCTTTACCCATCTTTAACCTTTTCAATATTAATCTAGATAGTTTACGTATAACAACTAACTACTTGCTCAACCGCTCTTCAATACCCTTTACTGTACCTTCCTATGGTGCTACATGACCTTAGATGTCTAGCACATTTATTTTGCTTTTAACCATTTAACTCGCAGATTCAGACAGAAGCACGTCGACAAGGTTTTTCACTCCCTAAAGTCTATGCACTCGACCAATCCCCGTGTCTCTAAGATTCAGAACTTTTTTTTTCTACCGGTCCACAAGCCATAAATCTATCAGACTTTGCTGGGTCCCCAACCATGTTGGAATCCCTTGCAATAAACAGGCAGATACTCTAGCACGCTCTGCCGCTATGTCCACACCACAACTATGTTTCTCATGTATTCCAGCCACGGATTATAACCCCACTTTAAGACCTTCCTGTATACCCAATGGCAATCTTTCTGGTCAAGTCTCCGAACTAATAAATTACATACTGTAAAATTATCAATTTCCTCCTTGTCAGTTCCAGTTCATCGGAACAGACGTTGGGAGATGGCTCTCGCCCGCTTACATATTGGCCACACCCGTCTAACACACTATCTGATAACACGTTCTCATCCGGCCGTGTGTTCCCAAAGTAATGTCCGTCTTTGCAGCAGCTTGTACCCTTGCTTTCTCCCAGTTATCCTCCCTTCACTGACCTCCCAACCAATCAGACTTCCATACAGAATCCCACACTTTCTGATTTGACACCCTGTTCTCTTTCCTCAGATGTATACATATCCCTCACCCTTACCTAAACCTACCTGAACCCATTCACTCATCCACTTCTTTACCCATCTTTAACCTTTTCAATATTAATCTAGATAGTTTACGTATAACAACTAACTACTTGCTCAACCGCTCTTCAATACCCTTTACTGTACCTTCCTATGGTGCTACATGACCTTAGATGTCTAGCACATTTATTTTGCTTTTAACCATTTAACTCGCAGATTCAGACAGAAGCACGTCGACAAGGTTTTTCACTCCCTAAAGTCTATGCACTCGACCAATCCCCGTGTCTCTAAGATTCAGAACTTTTTTTTTTCTACCGGTCCACAAGCCATAAATCTATCAGACTTTGCTGGGTCCCCAACCATGTTGGAATCCCTTGCAATAAACAGGCAGATACTCTAGCACGCTCTGCCGTTATGTCCACATCACAACCACGTTTCTCGCGTATTCCACCCACGGATTATTACCCCCACTTTAAAACCTTCCATTATACCAGATGACCATCTTTCTGGTCAAGTCTCCCTTCCTCTCATTTCCGAATTATTTTCCTTGATATCTCTACCCTTATTAGCCGTTGATTGTTTCTCAAAAGCAGTCTTGCTGTTTTCCTCATACAATGTTCATTCTTCAACCACATAGACACTCTCCATTTGACCTAAGCGCCCTACGCCCTTAACCCCTCCCCCATTTTACTAGTCCCCGCCTTACTCCATTTGCTCCCCCTCTTTACTCTTTTCACTACCATACCACCCTATAACGCTCTATAACCTTTGATATCTAACACCATAGTGTGCTTTATGACCTTTGAATTATAGCACATTTAATTTGTATAAACATGTAAACAATGAACTTAAATGGTTAGTTAGTACGAAGAGGAAGATAGCTGTCGTTAGCCACTCTGAATAGAGGGAATCGGAGCAGAAAGATTGGAGGGTGATTGAGGGATAGGTGTCTTTTGGGGTTATAATTATTAAGGTGTAAATGACCTCAAGAGTTTTTGAAAAGGAGTTAGGAGGCCTGAAAAACGGCGGGAGCGAAGGTCAGTACTGGGAGCAAGAGAGAATCCTCGTCGGCTTGCTTCATGTCTGACCTCACGTAAAGTGATCCTCTATAAAATACATTGTGGGAGCCACGGCAATTAATACAAGTGCGTGATTATCCAAAGCAGTTTGTACGATCATGGCCTGGCTGGACACGTAGGGCAGCAGGCTGTGGAGCGACAGTATTTAGAAGGGTTGCCAAGACGTTAACATTTCTGACACTGACTGGGGGGCTGATATGGTCTCATCAAAAACTCTCCGCCAATATAAACATGGGGAGGTTGTGTCTACGTAGAGGACTTTCGGCGGCCTCAAATTGCTTCCACAGTCTGACCAATCCTTGTCGCAGGCAGAGTAATCTGCCGAGATGAATACAGTTTCGGTACAAGTGTAAAGGGAAAGGTGAGGCTAAAAAGGGATAGGTTTGCCAGTGAGGTCAGTCAGGGTAGATAGTGATCGAGCTTAGGACTAGACGTGTATGATCGTCTGCGGAAGGAAGCCCTGCCTTCTTGTTTTTGGAGACAGTGTTGGAAGAGAAGGGTATTGTAACAATAAGGGGCTCTAGGAGGAATTAAAAAATCGATCCCACTTGGCAGGGCTAAAAAAGAGTATTACTTCCACCTCTACATACCCTTTGAGTAGAGGGCGGGAGGAGAGGGAGTGGTATGGAGAGAGGTATTACTGGGGGGAGGACAATAAGGATGAAGAATGGAAAGAAGGTTTAGAAAAGGAAGACTGCAAGAGGAGATGGAGTGGAGGATGTTGGGAGAGAGAAAGGGATATTTTCTGGAGACTGAATAATGACTTGGGTGGATGATTCACAATGGATCAATTTATCAGCAAGCATCGAGTAGAGCGTAACAGCAGCATTTAGTCGGAACCATGGTCAGAGAGTCAGGGGCCGGGAAACCAGAGATGTTAATTTTGACTTGGAATGGTCTGAGCTGACGGCAGGTATCAAGGAGGGGGGGGGGGGTAGTAGAAAAGGTGTTTGGAGTCGTAATCGAAGGAGTGGCGTGGATCAGGGAATTGGAAAAAGTTGATAGTGACACCTCGATACCCCTAATGAGGGTACAAAATAAATTTTGGCCATGATATGCCTGAAGATTGTGGGGAATAGATACAACTCACCCCTCTAGGTCCTCATATGGGGTAAGAGCTAGACATAAAAATGGTAATACCATGCCCATGGCTCCCTGAGGCCATCCGGGACTTGCCCAAAGCCACCCTTTTATCCTTTCAACACGGCTCTCACATCTTAAGGAGTGGACAGAAGAGAGAAAAAAGGGGGAAAAGAGAAGGAAAAGGGGGGGAAGAGAAGGGATAAAAAGGGGAGAATTAAAAACGTTGCAAATTTGGTTGAGCCAAGGGCTGAAGATGAAGGTAGGAGGAGATCCCCAACACTGAGCCTCACCCCCCCCCCTATCAATGAGCATGGGGGGGGGGGGGCTATGATTTTAAAATCTGGCTATCCTCATCATGTTCAGTGTATATAGCTTTCATAAAACAGTTGTTTCAGACCAGATATATGTGGGAATCTTGTCATGATTCTTGTTGCTGAATTCTAATATTCTTTGGACAGATTTACTATATATACATGTAGTCATATTTGCACCTGGACTACCTTGACCACCATATTGATGTATTCAAACAGTTTATCAAATGTGTCTCTTGACAACATGCAATAAGTACTGTGCCACATTTTACAGGCACAAAATGTATTTTCTATATTTCATGGTCTGAAATTCATATCGAATGACTGAATTACGATACTGTGGATTGTATTTTTTTTTCAGGAAGCTAGATTCAGAAGTGTTATAGCAAGATTTCCATTAGGAATCTGAATTAAGAGTCATCTTCAATGGAGTTTTTGTGAATTGAATGATGTATTTTGGCTTTAGTGATTCTCCTTGAGCACTTAAGTCACATAATCTGAAATAAGGAAGAATAATATACGGTTTCTCTTCATGTCACATTTATTCTACACACTGTACCACAGGGCTAATTGATGTCATTGTCTGTGCTCTCATGCTCTCATGATCAGGCTTCAAATAATTGATATACATATTAATAAATTTTCTGAGTATGAGAGTACACACATACCACAACCCTGAGTATAAGGAACACACGCCTTCTCACACCATGGTCCAGCAAAATAAATTAATATTAATTAACATTAGTTTCACTTGTATGCATGGCAGTGGGTACACTGTTGGCTTCCAAACCTTGGCAGTGATGGACCTACAATGAGCCTCTATTAGTAATCATTGTAAGAGATCATTAACATCACAAGCAACATCAGCGCACCATGGCAGATTTCCATATGAACATTATCAACACTTCCCAGGCAGGCAGCTTAACTCAACTTTTTTCCTTTTCTGTTAAGCACATTTTACATTTTTCAATTAATGAGAACTATGAAAATGAGTTGGAATAAAACTCAAATGCATGGTTTATCTCATATCTCCAAGGCACCTCATGGGCACCTTTGCAATGGAATGTTTTTTTCCTTGCACACCACAAGCACCATGAGATGAGTAAAATTATCAGAAACTTGCATCACAAAAGAGCTGTTTCATTTGCAATAATAGGCAGAATATGTAGCTGGCACACTTGTTAACGACAGATATCCTTAGTGTTAATATTAATCCATAACCTGACTGTTACTGGCAGTGCTAGTTTCAAGTATCACTATATTAACAAAGGTATCTGGAACAGACACTCAAGACATAACTAAAATTAAACATTCAAACAAACCATCTAATGTTTGAGATCTCCAGTTTTAGGGATACATATATACTGGGATGAATTTTGAACAACCGGTACATGGAAATGGTCAGTATTCTGTATTCTTTTGTTTCTTGTTTTATGGATTATATGTGATGAATAACTGGTACACAGTTACCATTAACTTCAGCTCCTGGGCGCTGACGTGCTGAGATAAGGGGCTTTGAAAAATGCATAAACAGCAATGTAATATAAAATTCTGAGTACAGGTGCAACTTGTCCCTAGCACCGATGGCCTCTTGCTTGAGGTTTCTAGTCATCTTTACTTTTACTTGGCAATGATACCTGCTTTGGAGACAGATGACCTGTACTTAGAAAACACTTACATACATTTTTCAATGACACCCAAAATTCATGTGTATTAAACTTGCTCCAGCCCTACAATACAAGTAGGGACCCAAATGAACATAAGAAGCTGTGATATGTTCCCTACTGCAGAGGAAAGGCACTGGATATGCTGTGGCCAGGGTTATGAGTGTATCAACAACTATGGGGGGAGGGGAGGTATTGAGACAGTATCCCATAACAAAGTCTGAAAGTTTCTGTCATGGGATCTAGGAATGAGTCATGGAAAATATTTTATAACTGGTAGCAATATGGCAACAATTTTGCTATATTTCAACAATTCAACTAATGGCAGCCAAGAATGATAGGTAATATGGACTGTTCCTTTGATTTTTTTTTTTTTTAGTCTTTTTTGTTTTACTACAAAACAATTATTTATTTACCTACAGTCTTTAAATGTATCTAATGGAAATCTAAATAAAGTCACATACAAATGTACATAAATGTGCCAAAGGATCAACCTTCATTAACTATCAGTGACTGTACAATTCATGAATTACATGTCTTTTTCTGAGTTGCCCGATTGGTATAATTCTAAATACTTTCTGTACTGCTGCCACTATAAATTACTATGTGTATCAATATCATTAATGTGTATAAAGTTAGCTATTGTGTAACAAACCCCCGGCCTTTCAGGGATTACACAGCCACATAGATAATAATGAGAATCAAACTAAATTGAGCACAAAAAGATTTTTCAATACACAGTACTTGAGCGAACTGAACATAAAGGGAATAAATAATTATTGATTCTTTAAATTACAAAAAAATGAGGATATTCTGAACTTAACCAGTACTAGCATGGTTGTTACACAATTAACACAACAGTAAACATGATATATATCCACCCTTTTTAACAGTGATGTTCGGATATCATTAAACCATTATGGGGCACCCCTAAATTAAGTACATCAGGAGCTGTGCCCTGTAACTTACACAGAAAAAAATGTAATAAATAAATAAAAAGTAAATAGTATTTGAACATTAGTCATTACAATTAGTACTGCCTAAAAATACAACCTCATCATATTAATGGCATCATCTACCACAAGCAGAACATGTTCAAATTGGCCCATGTTGTGACAGCCCAAACACCACATCCACTGTCTGACCAATGCTAACTGTTTATTATTACAGCTCCCTTAGTATATCTAGCTTAGAACATCTCTCATACTAAGTCTGTCTTGGCACGTCTTGTCTTTCTACATATGCGATAGTATTTGTTTTCTAAACCTATCTCATGACGTCTGTCTCACACATCTGTCTTGGCAACTTATTACATCTGTTTTCTTGTATCCCATTACTGCTATATTTCATCAAAATGAAGAATATACTGTACACTATTCTTTCTGATCTGCCTTGCTTCCCATTGTGCTATGGACACTGAGGGTGAGTATATAATATAAAAAAGTACAAAAAATCAACATAACAGCAGTAGTGTCAATGGTAGACACATGACATTGACAGAAGATAAGTTACATTGTACTGAAGGCAACAGTCAAGAAATACATAAATAAATACAAGAATAACCTAATCCTAACAAGTTAGGATAAAACATATGAAACAAACTTGAAAATGGATGTATATTTTGCATATGGCATAGGCTGTAGCCATCCCCAGGGTACTAAAACAAACGATGAACATGCCAACGTATGGGAATACTGCAGGTGTACCTGGTGGGTCCAGGGGGATCCTACACTCTCACACACTCATTGCACACAACAAAACTGGTTGAAAAAATTGATGCAATTTTTTCATCTAAATGCATAATTTTTTTTCTTTTTTTTTGTGCAAAATGGTTAGGCTGCTGATACAGCAGAAAATGTGCCAACTGGATATATGCCATAATGTTGTACAATTGATAATCATCCAAGAGGTGCAATGGCAAACATATTTGATTCTTGTAACCAGTTATGTAGAAAGTTTAACATATTTGTTTGCATTCCAGACAATTAAGGCAATTCCTTTATCTTAACCAGAATCAATCTTTTATGAAAACAGGTATATTAATATCAGCACAGGAGTGCAATTGTGAGCCTGACAGAGGTGCAGGACCCATGGGGAGGGGGAGGGGGCGGGCAGAGGGGATGGTGTGTAGGGTTGCAGGTCATTAACTTTAAAACTTAAACAGGCACCAATAACAACCACAGTTTAATAGGAAGTAAAATTTTGATTCTTAGGAAGAGCTCATCTATTCTAATATTCATTGGAACTAGCATTCAAGTGGCTTGTTTGATTCAGTAGGTAAAAAATGCCCAAGTTTTGTCCAAAAAACTATTTAGAACAGCTGAGGTAATACATATCACATAAGGAACCTGAGACAGCAGATCCATAACTACCACGACTGTTTGTCGCATTAACACCAACATGCTGCATTTTTCTTTCCCCCTAAACAACAGTTGAGATCCTTACCTTTTTCTGGCTATCAGATAGAGCTCTTCCCAAAAAGGAGGGAGAAAAAAAATTAAATAAAAAAATAAATAAATAAAATGAAATAAAAATTGCCTATCATATAACAAGGTAGCAATCCTACACACCCCACAGTGACTAGTACAACGGAGCAGCTCAGCATTATGCTGAGCTAACCAGGTTTCTAATGGTCCAGTAGAAGATAATTTAGGCCAAAGATGGTAGTCATAGTTTTTAGATTTTAAAATCAATTACTATAAGCAAAGCAATATTTTCAAAATCATTATAGCATGGTCTCAAAAATCAATAATCTTATAAATGAAACATTCATGAAAATCAAATAGCAGCAACAATCAAATCTAATTAAAAAAAAAAAACGATTCCCATAAAAATTATTCCCAACTCAGGCCTGCAATTTTCTTCCACCAAACTCAATGTTGGGGTCAGGGTTCACAGTCCCTGCATCCTACAAGAGATCACATTGAG